AGAAAGAAAGAAAGAAAGAAAGAAAGAAAGAAAGAAAGAAAGAAAGAAAGAAAGAAAGAAAGAAAGAAAGAAAGAAAAGGAAGGAAAGGAGAAAGGAAGAAAGGGAGGAAGGAGAAACTAAGAAGCTAAGAAAAGAAAAGAGGGGGAGAGATGTATAAAATGAAGGCGAATGGAACAAGGAACAGTTACGGCTACTATAATAAGGTGCACCTGAGACTCATCATCTCCACAAATTACCACAACTTCTATGCTTCTTTCACCACTGTCCAGCACTTTTGTAGCACTATGTACTTTCCTGAAGGAGTAAACCAGACCTTCCTGTCTGAAAGGTCTGAGCTGCTAGTTACTGTACCATTGTCCACTGTGATTGCTGTTTTCACTCATTGGTGGTTATCACTGGGCATGGACACACTATGAGATTATTCAGTGTTATGGGTTGACTTGTGTCTCCACAAATTCATACTCAAATAGAGTCATTGAAAATGTAACTAGTTAAGATCAGGTCATATTGGAAACAGGCCTCTGATTCAATATGACTGATGCTTGTATAGAATGGGGAAGTTCAGAGGCAGTGTGCTCTAGAAGGAAGCTAACATAACAGACACATGGAGAAGACACACATCTACAAGTCAAGGAGGGAGACCAGGAACAGATACTTTCCTTACAGTCTTCAGGAAGAAACAACCTGTCCACACCTGAAATTCAGACTGCTGGCCTTCAGAACTAGGAGAAAATAAATTTAAGCCACTTGGTTTGTAGCAGTTTATCATGGCAGTGCTAGTAAATTAATATATTCAGTAAATCTCCTGAGCTACAGATAGATTCCCCTACACTCTCCGACTTCAGGATAATTACTCCTAACCAAACAGGAACTCTGTTTTTTACCTTCTGCTCTGTTGACATGAAGAGTGTAAAATGACAAGGCAATAACTATTACTTTTGATTATGTGAGAGAAATGGAGAAGAAAATATTCTCATTTTAATTCACACAGAAGTAAAAAAGAAAAAGCCAAATTGAACTACAGTGTTACAACTTGATAGAGGGATTATCTGTTTTGGGTAATGAGTCAGAGAATATAATCTAAAGGCAATGGGATTAATTTCTGTTTCGTAACCTGGTAATGGAATCACAGATGTATTTACGAGGTTATCTCAAGTTGGAAATTCATAATTTGCATTCTTCCTAAATGAATTGTGTACCTAAAAACTGTTTAAATATGTTGGAACTCCAAGATGAATCAGGTGTCATCTCAACTCACCTAATTCCTTCATTACAGGAAATACAGAAGAAATGGCACTGACTGTGCTGGTAACCAGGCTTAGGGCTGAGCCACTGCTCATGCTGGTTGGTCTGAATCTAAAGCAGTTATGTCATAGAAAGTCCTACATTCTATTCCTGGTAAGCCCCTCACTCCCAGGCAAATCAGGATGAATGGTCACCCCAGGGCAAAGAGTGCTTGATGCTATCTGAATCCCAGTGGACTTCTCCTTGTTCCCACCTGCTTCAATTCTTCTCTGCCACATAGAACACACGGTGCCAAACACCCTCTTCCCAAGTGATTTTGGTGGAACTGAAAGACACAGGTGGTGTGTGTTCTACAGGGAGATGCCTGTTAGACTTGAATCAGACTTTGGTGGCTGAGCAGTTTTGGGCACAGACATGGGTTCCTTTGGTCACTGTAAAAATGTGAGCATCACACTTTTCCCCGCAGACACTTCCCAATCTACATACAGCCAAGGAAGGAGGTTGGTAGAGAGAACTTGAGCCTCCTCAGTCACCAGGAACTATCACATGACCAGAAGATGGTCAGAGCAGGAACCATGCTGATGATGGCACGGGCTTCCTTTTATCTGAAACAAAGTTTCTGTGAGTAATTCACAATTAAGAAACAGATTAAACCCTTGCTTTCAGAAGATTCATAAGATTTCAAAAACAACTTTCCCTTTGACAATCCCAAAAGGACTGTGGAAAACAATGTAAACAACAACAAGGAAAAGTCCTGCTGATTGGTGGGAACTTCGGAGGCCAGATGTATAAAATGCCCAGATGGGAAGGAGTCACCAGACTCTGGGAAACTCACCTCTGAATAGGAGCCCACCGTCCACCCCTGACACCATGACCCACTGCTCCTCCCCTTGCTGCCAGCCTACGTGCTGCAGGACCACCTGCTGCAGGACCACTTGCTGGAAGCCCACCTGTGTGACCAGCTGCAGCAGCACACCCTGCTGCCAGCCCTCCTGCTGTGTGTCCAGCTGCTACCAGCCTTGCTGCCGCCCAACTTGCTGTCAAAACACCTGCTGCAGGACCACCTGCCGCCAGCCCACCTGTGTGACTAGCTACTACCAGCCTTCCTGCTGCAGCACACCCTGCTGCAAGCCCTCCTGTGTGACCACCTGCTGCCAGCCCACCTGTGTGACCACCTGCTGCCAGCCCACCTGTGTGACCACCTGCTGCCAGCCTACCTGTGTGACCAGCTGCTGCCAGCCTTCCTGCTGCAGCACACCCTGCTGCCGGCCCACCTGCTGTGGGTCCAGCTGCTTTGGCCAAACCAGCTGTGGGTCCAGCTGTGGCCAGCCCAGCTCCTGTGCACCTGTGTACTGCAGGAGAACCTGCTACCACCCCACGTGTGTCTACCTGCCTGGTTGCCTAAACCAGAGCTGTGGATCCAGTTGCTGCCAGCCCTGCTGCCGCCCAGCCTGCTGTGAGACCACCTGCTGCAGGACCACCTGCTGCCAGCCCACCTGTGTGACCAGCTGCTGCCAGCCTTGCTGCTGCTGATCAGTTCCCAAAAGGACCATCATCCTCACAAGACAATGTTCTGGCAACCTTCTGTCCTCCACTTGGAGGACAAATTTCCTTTCAAACTTTGCTGACAACCAGCATGTTCACTCTAATTTTTATGACTTCTCTGCATGTTTAAAATTTTCTGAGTGAGCTTGATTGAGGGCAGATTACTTCAGCCTGATTCTCTCTTTCTTTACACTTTTTGGACCATGAGCTAGCTTCATGTATTTTCAATTTGGAGTCGTGGTCTCAGCTTGACTCTAAAATCAAAAGCTTCATTCTCTTTCTCTAAGAAACTTAGTTTTTGTAAGTGATCAATAATCTTCACAGTCTTTTACATTTTCAATGTCCTCCTCATGGCTCTTGTATACTTCTTCTTTTCATGATTTCTTTTGGTTATCTCCCTAGAAACAGGGATTTTTGCCTATATATATCTTAATAAACTCAAAGCCATTCTTTATCTTACATTGTGGGGTTTTTTAATTTATTTTACAGCATTCCTGATAGGGGGTTAACACACATATTGTGTACCATATATGTTACCTAATTTGATTATCAAAACAGACAGTCATGTTTTATTACCTTTACTTTCCAGCTGAGAAAATTTTAATGCGTGATGTTATTTAGCTAATAATGGACAGACTCAGATGCAAGGTGTCGTCCTCTCTTTCTGTCCAAGGGCACTTACATTTAACTCAATAAAGTAAAAATTACATTGGGACTCAGCATTAGCAAGACATGCACTTAATTTTACTCATCAATAGAGGAATAACCTCCTGTATTTGCTGATAACATTTCCCTCCTCCTTCTCCTTCTCCTTCTCCTTCTCCTTCTCCTTCTCCTTCTTCTTCTTCTTCTTCTTCTTCCTCTCCTCCTCCTCACCCCTCCTCTCCCTCCTCCTCCCCTCCTCCTCTCCTCCTGCTCCTTCTCCTCCTGCTTCTCCTCCCCCTCCTCCTCCTCCTCTTCTTCTTCTCCTTCTTCCTCTACTTCTTCTTCCTCCTCTTCTTCTTCCTCTTCATCCTCTTCTTCCTCTTCCTCTTCTTCTTCTCCTGACTACATATTGGCCTCCTTCTTCTTCTCTTGAATACATATCGACATAGCAAAATAAACTCAAGTTATTCCTTATAAAATACAGATGCCATCTTTTGAGAGTGTATATCTGGAATGCTCTGAAAATTCCAGAAAAAGAGAAAAACCACTGACTGTAATAGTCATTGGGTGATGGGGTAAAGGAGACAAAGAACTATCACATTCTCTTTGGCCAACATCAGTTATATATGATGAATAAGTTCTGCAGATCTGGTGTATATTAACGTGGATAAAATACTTTACTGTATACCTGAAATTTGCTGAAAAAGTTGATCTTAAATGTTCACACCACAAAAATAAAAAGGAAATGGTAACCATGTGAGTTAATAAATATGTGATTATTTCACAATGAATATATGTATCAAAACATTCTTAAATATACACAAATTTTATTTGTTAATTATATCTCAATAAAACTAGCAAAGAAAGAATTTAGTTGATCTAGTTAGTTATTATAATATTCTTATCTTCAATATTAAAATCATTTTTAAAGTTTTCAGAACAAAAAAAGAGCCACATGTTCTGGGTTGCCTACCATTTGATAGATAGTTACTAAATGTTTTATGTTCATTCATCTTTATTCTCAAAGAAATGTGCACAGTAGATATTAATGTTACCATTTCAGAGATGAGGAAATTGAGGCTGAGAGAGATAATGTAATGTCATAGTGTGGTTTCTCCCAGAACAGGCACTGAGAAGAACATTCTAGTGAAAGTAGTTTACTGGGAAGTGTAGATCACACCAGTAGGGATCAGGGAAGTGATACAGAAAAGGGTACACTATTGAGCCAGTAGGTATCGCAGTGACCAACTAAAGCTTAAACCAAAAGGAAAACTCTCAGAAATGATTTTAAAAATTACATATATCAGCATTTTCCAACTTCAGGAATAAGGGAGCTAGAGTCTTTGTAAATAAGCTCTCAGGAATCATTGGTTGAGTGATACTCCTCTGTGTGGCATGCACCGGTGACATGACTTTCTCCAGCTGCAATATAAGAGCCCTTATGCACAGAGATGCAGATTCTAGCAGGTAGAAAATGGCCCAAGCACAGTAAAATCCAAGATATATCGGCGGGATAATGAAAAACGTTCTCTATGACCTGCCGTTTGCTCCACTCAGATTTAATCTTTGCTTCTTAACTGTGATGGACAGCCAGAAATTCTAGGAGAATGAGGGAGAGGAAGAGAGGAAGAAGAAGGAGAGGAGTGTCTGGGCCTCTGGTTACTATACCATTGTCCACTGTGGTTGCTGTTACTCATTTGTGGTTATCACTGGGCATGGACACACTCTGAGATACTCCAATATTTGGATTGATTTGTTTCCCCAGAAATTCATCACCAAATAGGGTCATTGAGAATGTAACTAGTTAAGTAAGGTCACACTGGAATAAACTGGGCCTCTGATTCAATATAACTGTTGTCTGTATGAAAAGCATAGCAGAGTGGAAGGAGGGAAAGAGGAAAGGAAGTCAGGAAGAAAGAAGGGAAAGAGAGATATAAAATAAAAGCCAATGGAATAAGATACAGTTAATACTATAATAGAGTTCACCTGAGAGTCATAATCTCCATTAGTTACCACAAGTTCTATACTCCCTTCACGATCTGTTGCCTAGATGTAAACAGCATAGAAGAAAATTTAATTTCTTTAGATGAGTTCTAGTTTCCCAATCTTGGACAAACTACTTCTCAGATATGTCCAAGTGAAAACATTGACTCTTATTGGTGATGTCTGAAGAATTGTGGGGAACCTAAGATTTGGGAGACTGGATTTATATCAGCATCAGAGACAATTTTCATTCAATCTAAACTGATCAAAATAAGGATAGCCCCCTCTTCAGGAAGCGTAGAGCATTCCAGCATTTGCAAAATATATACCAGAACTTGAATTGCAAGAGGAGTTTTTTGTTTTTTGTTTTTTTACTTTTTGGTCCTGAAAATAACTTACAACATCCAAGAAGACTTTAAATAATCTATCTCTTAGTTATTGCACAATGTGTCATTATACAATAGAAGATTTATTGTTATTGTTGTTGTTTATAATGGTATTGCTAGGGTTTTCTATATTTCTAATGATTGACTTTTAATTCTGTTTAGGGCTGAATTGCTGCTTTCCTCTTTTACTTTGCTTTTAACTGGTAAATATTAACTTCCTTTGTATAGCTCTGTCCTAAGACAGGTACAGCTAGCTCATTGGTGGCAGCCAGACAACGCTTGCACTGAGTGACCTATCCTATCCACTTTTCTTCCCTCCTTTTTCCTGGTAGCTCAGTTCAGTAAGGTTAAGTCCTTTTCTGATGGTTTGAGATACATTTAAAATGGACTACTTATGTTTATTTTTCTGATGAAATAATATGTTATCAGGGAAACAAGGATTTGGCTCTTAAAAATTCATCATAGTCTTGTTAAAAATAATTATTCAGTGACACTTGTGAAAGCATGGGAAGGGAGACTTACTCAGGAACACTGCAGTAGGCAAAGGAACCACCATAACAGGGTCTTGCACTGGCAGAGAGAGATTGGACTCATCTCCTAATATAGCATAAGCAAGTGAGAATTGACAGCCAAGGAGCAGGGTGGGGGTCAGTGGATGGAAAATTGCTAAGAGGAAGCATCAGCAATGGAGACATTTTGGCTAAACTGATCTAACCGTATTCTTGCTGATGACAGGCCAGGGTATGAAACATCACTTGGAGAATGGCGGAGGATAAGGGATCTGATCAGCTATTAAGGGTGACCAGATATCGAGGATGGGGAGTTTTTGAGGAAATTATCGCTACACAGAGCCCACCCTCCACACCTGACATCATGCCCCTCCCTTCCACTCAGCCTATGCACACACAGTGTGGGCCTTGATGTCTCATTATTCCGGGGCTCTTTTGGTTAATTTCATCGATAAAGTTTTTTTTAGAATGTTCCACACATATTGGCAAGACCTGTTTAACTACTGAGAACCACAGACCACATTGATTGAGAAGACTGGAACAAGGCATACTCAGCCAGCGAGCATTGAGTAAGTTCATGAGCAGATCCTAAGGTCCCTCCTTGGGTTGGGGAGAAGGCCCAGTCTGAGAGAAAGTCAGAGCACTGATCCTAAAGACACAGTGATGGAAGCCTAATCATTTAAAGTGGGACAGGAGTCATTCAAAGGGCAGGGGGGAAGAAGAGGGTGATATCAGCTGTGCCAAGTCGGTGCTGAAGACCAAAATGCTAAAATCAGTCTTTTAGTGTTCTTTACCCAGGCATGTTTTATAGGCAATTGTAAATTATGGGGCAAACAAATCAATCTTAAGTACCGCCACACAACTAAGTTGAAATATGGTGTGTGTCTGTGTGTGTGTTTGTGTGCATGTGTGTCTGTGTATGTGAAGTGTATGTGTATGCATGTATGTGTTTGTGCATGTGTGTGAGTAGAAAAGGTACTGAAGGAGCCTGGCGCGGTGGCTCATACCTGTAATACCAACACTTTGGGAAGCCAAGGCAGGCGGATCACGAGGTCAAGAGATCAAGACAATCCTGGCCAACATGGTGAAACTCCGTCTCTACTGAAAATACAGAAATTAGCTGGATGTGGTGGTGCACACCTGTAATCCCAGTTACTGGGAGGCTGAGGCCAGAGAATTGCTTGAACCAGTAGGCAGAAGTTGCAGTGTGCCTAGATCGTGCCACTGCACTCCAGCCTGGTGACAAAGCAAGAGTCCATCTCAAAAAACAAAAAACAAAAAAAGGTACTGAAGGCAATACCCATACATACTTAAAAATAAGAGAAAAATACCCATCAGAAGACCAGAACAGATCTAACTAATTGAACCGTTGAAATGATAAGTCCACCTATACCTAGGGATTCAAGAAGCAGGATTACCAATGCTGGCATTAGTCAATTCAACTGCTGATAGAAATTCTCCATCTAGACCTTTCCGTGTTCAGGTGTTAGATTTTGTTTTGTTCTTATGGCCATTCCACTCTTTTTTGCCCCCAAACCTTCTTTCATGACTATGACCCTTGTGATTCTAAAACTGAGGATACAACCATTAATAATCTCTCTACAGCTCCAAAGTATACATCAGTGACAGAAAAATGTGAGCTATAAAGATCTGTTTTCTAGCTACTACATTTTTGCTGCTCACAAGTATACCCTTCATTGCCTGCTCTATGATAAAACAGAGGGATCCTATGAATGTTTATCCTTGGCCAGCTGACACAATGTTAAGCTTTGTCAATAGAAAGGGCTGGAAAGACACTGGAGTAAAGAAGCGTTCTCTCCCTGGCTTCCGTATCCTTCACCAGGCACAAACAGCACATGTGGATTCAGTAGCGACCAGCTCTTACAATGCACAAGGCTTTCCACAGAGCAAATTTCCAGCAAGTCCACCAGTGTACCATCTCGGGAAAACTCCCCACCATCCAGTGAGCGAAAGCTGTGTTCTCTCCAACACAGTCTTGATTTCAGCCTGGGGGTAGGGGTGGGGAGTTACCTTTCTATCTCAGATCTAGGAGTAGTAACAGATTTTAATATCTACTATTCCTATATTGTTTAGTTTCTCTTTCCCTCTCACCAGCCAGTACCCCTTTATCTCAATCCCCTGTCATTGTTAATAATTCTTTATATTAACCATCCCTGTACAAATTAATATATGGATTTGCCTCCCTTCTGATTAGACTCTGACTGATAAAAATTGGTAGTGGGAATGATATCAGGAAAAAGATCTTCCGTGAAGGTGAGATTTGGAGATTGATTTTGTCATACCCTTGGGCTTGAGCACAGTGCTAAGATTCTTTCCAGTGGAAAATGAGATGAATATAATCCATATACCATCACAATTCATCAAGCTATCACTTGTGATTAATTGTGATGAAGTGCCAATCAAGTCAAGTGTCCTGGGAGTCAAATGGCCCCTTGAACATGATGGCTGTAACGATCACTCTAAGGACTCAGGTGGCATGTAGTTTTGCGTGCTTTTGACTGCTAGTGGAAAGCAATCTTGGGCTCAGGTCATTTAACCCTCAGCTCAAGTCACCATCTAGAGTTTCCACAACAACCCTAAGAGAATCATTTATTTCTTATAACCACAGGACCAAGATTTCTGGAAAATCAAACACAACATTTGATTGTGTGGGAGTCACTTTGAACCTCCTTCACAGTGGAAACAAGTAAATTGTCCCTGTACTGTCTTGAGAAGATTGGCCTGCTCTTATTGAACATCCTGTGATTCCCTCGGCTGGAGTGGCCTTGAAAGACTATGCTTGTTCTCCTTAAAATAAACCACAACCACAACTGTTCCCACAATATTTATAACTAGAGTCGAATTTCAGCAGAAAACAGGTAGCAGTTCTTACCCACCTTAAAAGATGAGGTGGGCACATCTACTGGGAAGGACAGCAGGAAAGTGCCTTGGCCTGCAGGGGTTTTTGGCAGTGGCTTATTGATCATAGCGTCCCCAGAGACAAAATATATAGGTGGCCTATTAGGGCATAACTTGGTCTACCTAACAAACTTAGGGCCTGGTAGCCAAACACTGTGACCTGAGCTGTCACAGTAGAGGATCATGACCTTTCATTCAATTTTAGATCTAAATTATTCCACAGACACAGAGCTCCTTGATTATAGGAGTGGCTGAATCCCCTGGAGGAAAGACCCTGTACCGTTGTTACAAGAACACCCTGTAAATCTTCCTCCAAGTTTTCCCCAAAAGAAAATCAGCCACCCATTTAAGTTCCCTTCAATTAACCGTTTTTAAAACTGTCTCTTAGAGTCAAAAACGCAGCAAACTGACAAAAAAACAATTCTAAAAAAGTTTTTAATTTTATTTAAATTGGCCACTAGGTAAATTGATCATAAAAATGAATCTTAAGTAAATTAACCCTAAGCAATTCTCCATGGCCGACACTTCATGCCTGTTTTTGTCTGTGGCTTTCCAAAACCATTTTTGTTGTTGGCTTTCTGTCTACTTATTATGGGGAGACTGAGCCCACTCAGCTCCAAAGAACTCTTGGTGGTGAAAATTTCGGAAGCCAGTGAACTGTTTGCCCTTACTCTCTTCCAGCTGGAGAATCTATAATCTTAGATAGCAGCTACCCTTGTAGACCACTGCAGACCCACTGACTTAGATGACTCAAGCTCATTGTGTTCAAATGTGACCTGAAGGAAATCTACCCTAGGGGTGTGTGCAGGAATGAAAGCACTCCAAAAGTCTTATTCATTCCACTTAACCAGTTACATTTTTATTAGCAGCTGGCAGCAAAGGAGTCTTCTGAAAGACCAGGCAGCATCAAGAAAGAGAAACAAGAGAGGGTTTGCCAAAGTGAAATGAATTGACATCATCAGGTAACGCAAGCAGCAGTGTGGTAGTCCATGGTTGCTGAAAGGTTATTCTTGGTTAAGAAGGATCTCTTCGTGCCTGAACAAGTTCCCTGGTCAGCACTGGGGAGAATGTGGAGGTGGACTCAGGGTAAAGTTAGAAAACACGTAGCATTTGTACTCAGTGGGATGCAGGCACCCAGGGATGGCTATGCATTTATAAACAGCTGCAGACCCTCAGAGGAGGTGTGAGAAGTACTCCATTAACAAAGTGTTCCCTTGCAGAAGCTGGACTCACAGCTGGGTTGGCATGAAGTCAGCAAGCAATTGGAGCCACCACTGGGTGATGCACCTAAACCTGTCACACAGCAAGCTGATTTGCAGCCACTCTGATTGTAGGAAGTGGGTCCATCACAAGTTGGTTGGCCAGAAATCACAGTGTCACAGGAAGCTGGTTTGCCACAGTTCCTTGCAGAACAAGGGGCCTGACAGTTAGCCACTGACTGGTACATGAAGCATATGGAAGGAGCCGATTGGCAGTGAAGTGGCTGGCAAAGGGAAGGCACGCAGCAAGTCGTATTGCAAGAACCAAACACACAAGTTGATGGCTGGCAGGGAACAGGCATGCAGAGGACTGGTTGGCAAGGCTTGAAAATATAGCAGATGGGTTGATAATAAGTTGATTTACAGGGCTGGCCTTCACCACTGACAGGTTGACAGGAACTTCCTTGGCAGCAGGTTGGTTGGCATGGGCTAGCTGCACAGATGGTTGGTAGGCAAGAAGTTTCAGCACAGGAGGTCACTTCAGAGCGGGATGGTTGGCAGGGTCCAGCATCACAGCCGACTGATTGGCCACAAGCTGCCTGACATGACCCAGACGTGCAGCCAGCTTCCCGGCAGGAGTTTTGCGGGCAGGGACTGGCATCACAGCACTCTTCCTGACAACACGTAGATTCCGAGCAGGGTGGTTGACATGAGCTAACCAGACAAGGAGACTGACCAGTGCCGGACTGATGGCAGGCTGCGCAGAAGCACACAGGTTGGCAAACAAAACCCACACACGACGTTCCTGGAAGGCAGGTAGGTTGACACGAAGCAGGATCACAGCCACATGGGGCACCGTTGGATGGCTGACAGCTTTCTTGGCATGTGGCCAGTTGCCACGTCCTGCTGTGGCAGGAACTAGGCAAACAGATAGCATGTCGAAAGCTGCCTCTAATTGGGCATGTGGAGATGGTGGGCACAGCTGGAAGGGCCGTGGTGTTTCCAGGACCGCTGCTATCTCCCATGGTGCTGGAGTGGACCTTGCTGGGAAGTTGCAAGCTCAGTATACCTGCATTTGAAAGACATCCGATACATAGGGGCTTTTATAGTCCTTCACTAGGGGTGTTGGTATGACATACAGCATTTTCCTTGTTATTGTTTTTACTCATTTGCATGCAAACATCTGATTAGCAGGCTTCAGGAGCCTGGGAGATGTTGTTCCAACTTTTAAAAGGTGTCTATCGAGTCGGGAGTTTTCTGCGCTGCATTTGGCTTCGCTGAGACTGCTCCCGCTCTGGGATGAGCTGTCTCTTTTACAGGTTGCTCCCCAGCCTCACTGAAGCAGGCCCTTCCTGTCACTACCCTTTCATCAGGAGGCCTCTGCCAAGCCAGAGTGGCCCTGCTCTTCCTCCAAGAATGCAGCTTTGCACCATTCAGACAATCAGAAATGAAGCTCTGACCCAGTTTGGGGAGAGGGTGTCAAGATGGGAAATGGAAAATTAGTTCATGGAACCCAAGGACACTTAAGTGCCTCCACCGCTTTTTAAAACCTTCCCATTTAGCATTCCTGAAACTTATTTACTAGTACTGTCGCTAATAACAATAGAAATGGCTTTCATTTATTGCATAGTTACTAGACCAAGCCCTTGACTGCACTTTTCATTGAATCCTCACAATAACTTTAGTAAGTATAACTGCCATCACTATGTTAGAAGTGGCAAAACCAAAAAAAAGTGATAAATAAAGCAGAAACCAGGTTTAAAATGAAGCTAAGATTAAAATGTAAAACTTCATTGGCCTTTTTAGGAAGCTTAGAATCTCCCCAAATTGGTTCTTCTCAAGAGTTTTTAAAAACAGAAAAGATAAAAGCAGAAGAAGTGGCAAAACTAACTCACAGAGTTTAAATCATGTTCCCCAAATTATGCAAATGATAAGGGGTAGAAGCAAAATTCAAACCTAGCTTTGTCTGACCTCCAAACCCCTCATCTTAACTACCTTTTAGACCCCCTGACTTTGGGGAGGCGGGGGCAGGGCAGCAGGCTGGCTGGTGGGCAGGTTGCCCAGGCCCCATCCAGGGGCTGCTCCTCCCACCCGAGTGACTGTAATCAGCAGCTCGGCCACACTGGTGTGAGTACTTACCTCTACTTATCAATACACCCAAACACAGTCTTTTCATTTTGGAAACTTTTAAAACTGCCAAGTATTTCCTCAAGAAGGATCAAACCCACCCTAAAGCATCAACAGCATATGAATTCTGTAAAAATAAAAACACAACAGCCAGAAGTGATAATAAAAAACATCCCCATAAAATGGTGTTAATGTGACATTAATCCCTTCCAAGGGGAATTCATTCGGGACTTTCTTGGCCCTTTCTGCTTTTCCTCTGGGCTTGTCCTGGCTCCGCATCACCAACCAGGTCCAGTGTTCTACACCAGCCCACGTCCTGACCTGGTTCATGCAGGAGGCACATGACACAATGGAAAGATCACGGTTCAGGGAGCCAGACGGGACTGGCCTTGATTTCTGGCTCTGCCACTAACTCAGTCTGTTGGATGTGTTAGCTAATTACCTAAGTCTTCAAAGTATGGAGATTTCATCACCTGCCTTGCCATGTTTCAGGTTAGTTGCTGTTGGATTTTTGTTTTTGTTTTTGTTTTTGTTTTTCTGGTTGCCTTGAAAATGCTGGAAACGCTGGAGGGTAATCTGCAAACCACCAACTACAGCTACAAAATGCCTTCTTCTTAGCACCCTCCTCACCCTCGTTTTAAAAAGAAGAGAAACGTCTTTGATCAGAAAAAATGTCTGGAAAATCTTCCCTGTTGTCACTGAAACACCTTTTTCCCCGCAGTTGGTTTCTATGTCATGCCATGGATGACTTCTTCAGCCCACCTTCTTCTCTCTATTCATGTTGCCATCTTTCAGTCTGCAGGAATCCATGCACTGGGTTTCATTGCTGAATATTCACACCCCAAAGCTCTTCATCTTCCCAGAGGAAGGATTTAGTACTTTTGGTCTTACCAAATATGTCAATCAACATGGGAACGTGAATATATTTGAAAAATCACATCAACTTCAATCCAATATCCTATACCACTTTTGTAGTCTTAAAGCTATCCATTCTGGAGAGAGATCCAAGATGGCTGATCACTAGCAGCT